AAGGTATTAGTAGAGAGCAGTAGAAAAGAGGAAGGTTTGAAATACTCTGTATTAACTTCTGGCCCAGTTATTAACTTGTCGTGTTGATTGTTGCTCTGCAGGAGGAAATAATGCATTCCTCTGTAATATGCCTGTATGGTATTGGTGTTTTGGCAGCCCGCTGTCCTGGAGCTGTTGGAGGATCGGGGCCTTTGGGAATAGTCTGTCAAGGCCTGGAAGTGTTCAGCCATCAAGCTTGTCCTTATCCCCAAAGGATACTCTCTGCAACAAACTGTGCTATTCTGTTTTGTGGAAATGAGCAGCGTTAATCGCCTAATGGGCAAAACTCCTTTACACGTTATTGAGTTCCTATTATATAAGGCTCTTCTGTGGAAATCGCCCAGACAAGGGAGTCAGACCTTTGGTGAGGAAGAGGCTTATGTTAGCCCTTATCCCTGCTCCCTTTTTAAGCACCATTACTTAAAAATGAGCATGATAAACCAGAGGATCAAGTTAAAAAGAAAACAAAGTACATCCTGCCCCTCGTATCTTTCACAATGACTACTGCATGTATTGCACCTGATAGCAAACTATTACAGACATAGGACTAATTTGCAATACTATGTTTATACAATCAACTCCTTATTTTTTATCGTTATCTTACCTTTCTCTACAGGTACTGCTACTTCGGTGACTGTCCTTGGAACAGTTTGGCTGGTCATGTGCCCATATGGCACCAAGTGGATCAAGGGCAGTTTTCTAAAAATGTGTGGGGGGAGGGTTTAGGGGGTGAACCAGGGACCAGCCAGCATGAGCACTGTGCTTTTTGTGTGCTGGCACTGAAATCCTGAGTGCCAGTTCTGTCTGTCCTTGAAACTGCTCCAGCATGAGGTTAGTCTCTTCTTCGGCTGGCTCTCTAAACCCTGTGCATACTCTACACCATAATGGCTTGTGAATAAACCTGGTTATTTTTTATATTCATGTGTTTTCGTTTTGGTTCCGATTTTGCATAAAGAAAAGGGAATCTTCACTCCCTTTAAAGTCCGGATCCAGTCATGTTCCATGGCCAGTACAGAACTGTAAAGGAGGCAACTCTGAGTGAGGGAATAAGGAACAGTTTTAGTAGGCAGTTATGTGCTGTGTTTTCAAAAGATATTAGAGAGTAAGCAGAGACAGAGAAGAGAAGAGGTATGTGAGAGGCGAGATGTGAAAAAGAGATGAGAGCAGTTGTAGAGGATGACAGGGCCTGCTGAGGTGGCTTGTGCAGAGAAGAGCTACTGGGAGTCTTCCTTTGTTGAGAGTGGGTAGCGGAAAGGTAATAATGAGGTATTAAACAACTGTAGTCTAAGTAACCGAGGACCAAGAGAAAAAGTGGACCAAATACATGAAAATAACCTGGAGCAGCCAGTAGGTGGAGAAAGTTATAAACCAGAGTCTAGAGAAGTGTTGGTAAGAGTATACATAGTCAGCAAATCTAAGCACACCGTTTATGCATAGCTTCCCCCCCACTTAACATTTAACTCCATCTGGCACCTTTTTTGTTTAATTTTATCTTAATGGAATTGGTAGAAGGAACACTAAATGAGACACCAGGTTTTAGTCCAGCTTAGTCACTAGCTGGTTTGGGGGAGGGAAGGTTTTCTTATCTAAAAATGAGGGATTTGGATTAAATGACCTTTGTGGTCTTTTCTGGAGCCCTGGTGGCACAGTGGTTAAGAGATTGGCTGCTGACCAAAAGGTCGGCAGTTTGAATCCCCCAGCTGCTCCTTGGAAACCCTATGGGGCAGTTCTTTATCCTGTAGGGTTGCTGTGAGTTGGAATCGACTTGATGGCAATGAGCTTTTTTTTTTTTTTTAAAGGTCCTTTCTAGTTCTAAAAATTTATAGTCAACTATGTGGAAGCCTCACAGACTTAGAACTATCATCACATCAGGTCAGAAGATAGAAGAGAATGTATGTGTAGTGGTGTACAGGACACAGAACAGTTGATATAATCAATGCAAAGTCAGGGTGGTGATGAAGGAAAAAGCACTATTTCACAGGATATTTGGGACATCCTCTCTTGAACAGAAATTGTAGTCTCTGATGTCAGAAGCTTGTGAGAGCCAAGTTTAAGGTTGCTTTGTTCATTTTAGCTGCCTGGTAAACTCCCTCCATAGAATTACTACTTCCAGGTGAGAAAACACTGACTTTTTGTTTTCTCGGTCTGATGTAAATTATCAGGGGCAGAATGCAAGTCCCTCCTGGTACTGACTCTCAGAGAATTGTAGTTCTGGGCTCTTCTCAATACCTTTTGGCTCCGCCAATGTCTGTGGCAGTTGGGACACAGATTGCTTCTTGGTCTGTGCCAGAAGTGCTCTCTTCCTCCCTTCATGTTTATCACTTTGTCATCCCTGACTCTGAATCCCAGAGATCAAGACTAGCTGTAGTCCAGCAGCAGAGCAATAAATCATTGCTCCCACTTCCTTTTCTCCAGGTTTCCTGCCCCTTAATTACCATGTAGTCATTGCTGAGGCTGCATCTCTGTGCTGTGTGTGCTGGGGACAGAAAGCCCACGTTGACTGGATGTGTGCAAAAGCTGTTTTTTCTCCAGCCATCATATTTTGCAGAGTGCCACTTGTGCTACCCATCCCCTTCTCTTCTCTTTTGTGAGTTGCTAGAGTTCGATTGTCTGGTGGTTTACCATAAACAGGGCTTGTTTAAGCTTGTGATTAGGGGATGGGTAGGCAGCCATTAAATAATTCATCAAGGTGGTCTTCATTAAGGAAGGAGGCTTGTCATATTTATGTGGATTTTAGCTAGTCCCGTTTGTTCCCTGAGCTCCTAGCAGGAGCTAAACAAGTTGTGCGATTCAGAATGGGTTCCCATGAAGCTTTTTTTTCTGTTCAGTCCAACAGATCACTTTTAACAGACAGCATCAAAAAGGCCAGCTGGCTATCACTTTCTTTTCCATTATGGGACCCCAGAGAACTAAAGTTGGGGCAGGGGTGAATTGTTCTTGTGAGGATGTCTGCCTCCTTCATCCCTAGGAAGGCTTTTTTGCTATTTGAGGGGAGAGATTCAGGCTTTAGAAACAGAATGTACTTGCCACGCTCTTGTACTTTCCTTGCCTGCTGTTTCTTTTCTGTACCTGTGCTTTTAGAGGATGGAGAGTGAGGGGTGTTGTATGGCAGGCAGCAAGTGTCTTGGAGAGTCTTACTCCTACTCATCATTCCCTGCTGTTCCAAATCAAAGCTCACATCTATACTCTAAGAGTAGTAGTCTTCATGCAAACCTCAGACAGCACGGGAAAATGGTTATCATATCTACTGGTAGAGAAGCAGATATGATATAGAAAAGAAAAGGTCAAACATTTTCTTGGGTCCGTGGGAGGGGAAGATTGAAGGGGAGAAGACAGAAGAACTACAGATTGCTTGCAGCTGCTCTTTATAGTTTCCCATCAGTTTAGGAGAGCTGAGTACAGGGACATTGTTCAAGATGGGCACAGAAATAGGATTTATTTCATGGACAAATGTCCTGGGTAAAAGAGAACAAGGCACCTGATAATTTCTCTTATGCCTAAAGTTTATTTGCAGAAATGTATTTAAAGCTGTACTGTTAACCTAAGGACTTGACAGGTAGTCTCTTTACTGGTATTGCTTGGGTTTCAGCAATTTCTCGCCTCATTAAGAATTGCCAGGCAGAGAAGGGACCTTTTCGGTAAATGTTGTCACTGTCGAGAAAGAACAGATAGAGCAAGCTGCACTTTTATTTCAATAGCTAGAACAATTGGGGCTTTCTTCTCACTGTAAGCTTACCCCTACTCATAGCTGTAGTCCAGTTGTAGTTTGTCCAGTATAGCTGACACATCTAGTGACCAGTTGGAATTAGATAGATGGCCCTCTTGGCAATGATGTTTGAAACAGATACATGGCTAAAACTTGGTGACATGAGATGCTAGCAGCCTAGGGTAGGAGGGGGACCCTCATTTTGACTTGTAAATTGAGCAAATTTGATGGGGAAATCACCATGTGGGAGTAAATTTAGAACACTAAGATGTCAGTTTTATAGTCAAATTTCTGAGCTTAATTGCTATTTAAGAAGTGGCAAAAAGTAGATTTTAAAAAATCCTTCTATGGGCAGATAAGTAGACACTTGCTTGGGAATGCCAGTGCTTTCTTCAAGCATACCTACCTTACCTGCTTTTTAAAAAAAATTATTTTGTTGTTGTTGTTGACAATATACAGCAAAATATACACCAATTCAACCTTTTCTGCGTGTACAATTCGGTGACATTCATTACATTCGTCCAATTGTACAACTATTCTCACCCTCCTTTTCTGTTCCTCTCCCATTAACATAAACTCACTGCCCCCTGAGTTTCCTATCTGATCTTGCAAGTTGCTGTTGTCACTTTGATCCCATATAGATAGTTCTTAAAAGAGCACAATGCTTAAGGCAGACAGTTTTTACTAGTTAAGATAAACTATTGTTTGGTTTTAAGAAGACTTCAGGGGATATTTTTTGTTTACGTTTTAAAGATTATCTCAGGGCAATAGTTTTGGGGGTTCACTGAGCCCCCATGGCTCCAGGAAGTCTAGAGTCCATGAGAATTTGGCATTCTGTTCTGCATTTTCCCCCTTTTGATCAGGATTCTTCTATAGAATCTTTGATCAAAATGTTCAGTAATGGTAGCCAGGCACCATCCAGTTCTTCTGGTTTCCTGGCAAAGGAGGCAGTTGTTCATAGCTGCGATTAGCCACCCATTCCATATCCTCCTCCTATTTCTGATTTTCCTTCTTCCTCTCTTGGTCCAGGCAAATAGAAACCAATTGCCATGCCTTGGATGGCTGCCTTAAGCTTTTAAGACCCCAGGGACTACACAATGAACTAGGACCTTACCTGCTTTTTAAAAGTCTTTGGCATCTGACACTCATTCTAGCCCTGTCTGAATTTCTATAGAACTAGTCTGCTTTCATTTAACCTTTTTGATTGTGCTTAAATAGCTTGTTGATGTCTTTTTTTTTTTTTTTTTTTTTTAAGCCTTGATCAATTTGCTGAAGTTTCTTATGTCAAATGAGACCGTACTTTTGGCCAAACACAACATTTTTACATTAGCCCTTATGGTAAGTAATGAAAAAAATATTTCTTTGTCTGAAGCCATACCCTAAGGCAAAGGTGGGCTGGTTTGAAACAGGAACTGGTGGTCTGGGGATTAAGACACTGGGAGAACCAGGCCTATATTTTCCTCTTGGATCAGAATCTCTAGACTGGTGCTCCCCACTCTCACCTGTGTCTTTGGCAAACCTGGGACTCTTTCTCCTTTATGAGAGTGTGTTGTCGGCAGGGGAGAGTATAGATCAGATCTCTGTATGAGTAGAGAGCTTTGGTCCCAGTTAAGAGACTGTATGGTGCTATTGTAGTCTCTTTGTTGGTAAATAGCAAAGCTTCTATGAAATATCCCAGTCATATGAGTGGTTGTACCATGATTGTTCTTGATGTCCTCAGGACATTACACATGCGTGTTTATCTGGTTGATTATTTGGGATGAAAGGAGGTCATTGTGCCTTTTAGCTATCTTTTCAGGATAGTATCCAGTGGTGTCTTGGTAAATGTTCAGCAGTTGGCTCTGTGGGGGATGGGGGAGAAGCCCTGATTTGTAGCATTTTCCACAAATTTCCATGGTATAACTACTCCCACCATGGCCAATTTCAGGCTATCAGCGTGACAACGTTGAATGTAGATTTAGGAAGAGATGTGTAGTAGCACACCATTATATGGTATTCCCACCATATAGATACGAGACGTAACTTAATCTCAAGAGCATAGATAATAGTAAAAGGCAGAAAATAATTGGAAAGTGATGAATTTTGAGTATTTACTACTTTTATTTTAATATAATTTGTTTAACTGTAAGTTTATATAAGTTGATTGTTAATAATGGTTATATTTAACAGCCAGCTCACAAAATTCTTGAAAATTTAACAGTCAGCTCTTGCAAGTCAGTAAGAGCTGGCTCCAGCATACTGATTATACCTTTCTGGCCTTCATAGCCTGATGCCTGTATGTGGGGCTTTTGCTTCTTTTCTAGATTGTGAACCTATTTAATATGTTTATCACATATGGCGACACATTCCTGCCTACCCCCAGCAGCTATGATGAACTCTACTATGAGATTATCCGCATGCACCAGAGCTTTGACAACCTCTACTCCATGGGTAAGCTGTCTTTTCTTTTTACTCCACTCTCCCCTTCAACTGTCTGGTTTTTGACATGTAAGAGGAAAAAATTACAAAAGATTCTTCTCTAGTTGCTCGGTGCCCTTGCTTGGCATAGAAACACAGTAGTCTTCTTTTCTCAGGTATATGTGGGCCTCGTTGCCCTTCAGGAACTCAGATTTCATCTCAGTGGAAAGCCTGGTAACAGTCCTATAGCCCTATGTTGATGTTTGTGAAAGAGAGAGAGAATAGAGAGGTTTGTGGATTTAGTATCAGTGAGATGAAAGTGAAATAGTGGTTGGGGATTGACAGTGGCAAAAAGAGGGGCTTGGATCCCAAAGGTACCAAATCGGAAAAGAAAGCATTGTGTGATTTGAGAAGATACAGGATTTTAAGGAGTCTTAATGAACCTGTGTATTTTTAGAATAACTTACAAGAAGAAGTGGGCATTAGATAAAAATCTTTCTTGCAAACCGTTTGGTGATTGGCTTACTAAAAATTTACCCTGCTGCCATAATGAGTATAATTTACTTCTGAAAGACATCACCCATCCCCATAAGTTTGTATAAAAACCCAGATCAGTTCTACCCTTGAATGGTAAGGAAAGTTTCCTGTAGATTGAACAGAAATAAAAAGCTACTCAGTAAAACTGTTTTATTAAAAACAAAAACAAAAACAAAAAAAACGATTAGCTTTGTTTGGGTGTAATTGATATATAATAAATGGCACATGTTAAAGTACACAGTTTGAAAAGTTTTGACATGTGTATGTGCACCTGCAAATACCATCAAGATAATGAGCATATTCATCACCTCCAGAAGTTTCCTTGTGTCCCTTTAGAATCTCTCTCCCTGTACCCTTCCCTGTTCCCATCCTTGGACAACCACTGATTTGCTTCTTGTCATAATAGATTACCTTGTTTTATTCCTTTTGATGAGACTACTGGAGAAAAATCTGCATTATGCTTGGGACTTCTATATAATAAGAGAAGTAGAGGAGATTGAGAATGCATACCAGGAAAAAGAGGAGAAGAAAATAGTGGAAAAAAAGGATTGCCTTGGGAGGGAAGCTTTTAAGAGAACCACATATAGCTTGGCAGTGTAATGACTTAGGCATTGGTGTAGGGGCTTGTGTTAGTAGGATGTTTTCAACTGCAGGTATCAGAAAACTCTGACTTAAGCTGTCTTAAACAATAAGAAAATTATCTCAATTTATAAGAACTCTAAAGGAATGACAGTTCCAAAATGGTGTGATCACTTGCTCAGTAATATCTGCAAGGACCCAAATTATTTCTGTTTCTCTGCTCTCTCATACATATTACAGTGTAATGGTGTTGGCATCAGGTCAGCTCCCCTCAGGATAGCAAGTTCAAGTTATCATATCACAACACGTCCTTTTTTTTTTTTTTAAAGAACGAAGAAGTCTTCTGTGAGAGCCTCCAAATAGATTTCACATTGGCCAGATACACTCAGTGTACCCTAGTGTGGTGTGCTTCTGCCTGGCTTCACCAGGGTTTTCTGTGAATACAGAATTTTCCAAGAGTAAAGAGCTGTCCCAGAGGCTTAAAAAAAAAAAAAAACCTGTTGCCTTCAAGTCATTTCCACTGATAGCAACCAAATAGTAGAACTGCCCCACAGAGTTTCCTAGTCTGTAAATCTTTACGAAGCAGACTGCCACATCTTTCTCCCACAGAGTGGCTGATGGGTTCAGACCGCTGATTTTTTGGTCAGCAGCCGAGTGCTTAACCACTGCACCACCAGGGCTCCTTCAGAGGCTTTAGGATCCATCAATAGATGAATGAAGATGACTTTGAATGAAGAAGGGGAAGAGAGTTAGACTGAGGGAGAATTTTATAAGTCTGACATACCTATTCAACTGGGCCATGTACCCACTGTCAAATGAGATAAGCTCTTGTAACTACAGCAACAAGGTAAGAAAGGATATCTGGGAATGCCCAAACCTGCCAAGGAAATAAAATGGTAACCAGGAGAATATAAATATGAAAGTAAAAACTTCATTAACTGAAACATGACAGACAGTAGGAAACAGCATGTTTCAGTGTTCTTCATTTTGTATAAAGTGTGATCAGACTTCTGGTGGGAAAGACATTTAATTTTTCAGTCAGGTTTTTTTTAAATTTTGGTGGAAATATACACAGCAGAACCTACATCCATTCAATAGTTTCTGCATGTACAGTTCAGTGATATTGGTTACGTTCTTCATGTTGTGTCATCATTCTCACTATCTCTACCCGTATTGTTTCACCACCATTGACTTAGATTCACTACCCCCTTAACTTCTCATCTGTGCTTTAGAGTTACTGTTGTCAGTTTGATCTCATACAGATAATTCTTTAACAGAGCATAATGACCATGGTGAATATTCTTTACTAATTTAACTAAACTGTTCTTAGTTTAAAGATGACTTCAGGGGATAATTTCGATTCATGGTTTGAAGATTTTCTCAGAGCGGTAGATTTGGGGGCTTCTCCAGTCTCAGTAGGTCTTGTGAGTCTAGATTCTGTAAGAATTTGAAATTCTGTTTTACATTTTTTCTCCTTTTGATCATGATTTATCCATTGATTCCTTGATTAAATTGTTTGGTAATGGTAGCCCGGCACCATCCAGTTCTTCTGGTCTCATAGTAGAAGAGGCAGTAATAGTTCATGGAGGGAGTAAGACCTGCAGTCCAGTTCCTTCTCCAATACCTGGGTCTCCTTCTTCCTCTGCTGCTCTAGGCAAATAGAGACCAATTGTTATATCTTGGATGGACATACTTGACTTGTCTCTGATTTTAAGGGAAAAACGTCCTACTTTTCACCATTAGCTATAGGTGTTTTGTAGATGCTCTTCATCAGGTTCAAAAAAAAAAAAGGTTCCTCACATGTTTGTCAGTTTGTCGTATTGCGGTGGTTTGCGTGTTGCTGTGATGCTGAAAGATATGCCACCGGTATTCAAATACCAGCAGGGTCACCCATGGTGGACAGGTTTCATCTGAGCTTCCAGACTAAGACAGACTAGGAAGAAAGTCCTGGCAGTCTACTTCTGAAAAAAATTAGCCAGTGAAAACTTTATAAATAGCAACAAAACGTTGTCGGATATAGTGCCAGAAGATGAGCTATCAGGTTGGAAGGCCCTCAGAGTATGACTGGGGAAGAGCTGCCTCCTCAAGGTAGAGTCAGCCTTAATAACGTGGATGGAGTCAAGCTTTTGGGATCTTTATTTGCTGATGTGACAAGACTCAAAACGAGAAGAAACAGCTGCAAACACCCATTAGTAATAAGAATGTAGAATGTACAAAGTATGAGTCTAGGAAAATTGGAAAATGTCAAAAATGAAATGAAACACATGAATGTCAATATCCTAGGCATTAGTGAGCAGAAATGGACTAGTATTGGCCATTTTGAATTGGACAGTCATGTGGTCTGTTATGCCAGAAATGACAAATGGAAGAGGAATGGCGTTGCATTCATGGTCAAAAGGAACAAGATCTATCCTGAAGTACCATGCTGCCAGTGATAGGATGATATCCATATGTCTACAAGGAAGACCAGTTAATAATAACTGTTAGTCAAATTTACACACCAACCACTAAGGCCAAAGATGAAGAAATTGAAGATTTTTACCAACTTCTGCAGTCTGAAATTGATCAAACATACAATCAAGATGCACTGATAATTACTGGTGATTGGAATGTGAAAACTGGAAACGAAGAAGGATCTGTAGTTTGAAAATATGGCCTTAGTGATAGAACTAATGCTGGAGATCGCATGATGGAATTTTGTAAGACCAATGACTTACTTATTCATTGCAAATATCTTTTTTCAACAACATAAACGGCGACTATATACGTGGACCTAGCCAGATGGAATACACAGGAATCAAATTGACTACATCTGTGGAAGGAGACAATGGAGTAGCTCAATATCATCAGCCAGAACAAGGCCAGAGGCCGACTGCAGAACAGACCATCATTGCTCATATACATGTTCAAGTTGAAAGTGAAGAAAATTAGAATAAGTCCACAAGATCCAAAGTATGACCATGAGTATATCCCACCTGAATTTAGAGACCATCTCAGCGTTTCTAAAGCTGAAATAACTGAAGAAAAAAATTCAGTCCTCGAGTTGCAGTGTTGAAGGATTCTGTGGGCAAAATACTGAACAACGCAGGAAACATCAAAAGAAGATGGAAGGAATACACAGAGTCACTGTACTAAAAAGAATTTGCCAATGTTCAGTCATTTCAGGAGGCAGCATATGGTCAAAAACTAATGGTACTGAGGGAAGAAGTCCAAGCTGCACTGAAAACATTGGCAAAAAACAAGACTCTAGGAATTGACAGAATACCAACTGAGATGTTTCAGCAAATGGATGTAGCTCTGGAAGTGCTCACTTGTCTATGCCAAGAAATTTGAAAGACAGTTACCTGGCCAACTGACTGAAAGAGATCTATATTTATGCCTATTCCAAAGAAAGGTGATCCAATAAAATGCGGAAAAGTATTGAACTATCAATAATATCACATGCAAGTAAAATTTTGCTGAATATCATTCAAAAGCAGTTGCAGCAGTACATCAACAGGGAACTGCCAGAAATTCAAGCTGGATTCAGAAGAGGACGTGGAACCAGAGATATCATTGCTGATGTCAGATGGGTCTTGGCTGAAAGCAGAGAATACCAGAAAGATGTTTACCTATCTTTTATTGATTATGCAAAGGCATTAGACTGTGTGGATCATAACAAATTATGGATAACATTGTGAAGAGTGAGACTTCCAGAGCACTTAATTGTGCTCATGAGGAACGATTACATAGACCAAGAGGCAATCATTTGAAAAGAACTAGGGTATACCATGTGGTTTAAAGTCAGGAAAGGTGTGCGTCAGGGTTGTATCCTTTCACCATACTTACTCAATCTGTGTGCTGAGCAAATAATCAGAGAAGCTGGACTATATGAAGAAGAATGGGGCATCAGGATTGGAGGAAGACTCATTAACAAC